AAAAATTATCTATAATCAGCCAATAGAAAATTCATAATTTCCTGATAAATAAAATGAAAAGGCTACATTACCTGAATTGCAGCACCGATTGCTACTGCTTCATCAGGATTTACACTCTTTGTAGGTTCGCGATTAAACGTTGATTTCACAAGTTCGAAAACTTTAGGCATACGCGTCATACCGCCAACTAATATTACTTCACTAATTTCTCTTGTTTCAACTCCGGCATCCTTAAGAGCCTGTTTGCAAGGTGAAATAGTCATCTCAATGAGATCTTTCGTTAAAGTCTCGAAATTTGCGCGAGTCAATTTCATAGTGAGATGTTTGGGACCAGCATTGGTAGCGGTAATAAATGGAAGATTGATATCTGTCTAGATATTTTCGATAGATCAAAGTGAAATGATTTAACATATAATCTTTGTGAAAGACAAAGATTAAATTCAATCACTTACTTGAAGCGTTGATGATAATTCAATTTTGGCTTTCTCTGCTGCTTCACGAATACGTTGAATCGCCATTCGATCATTAGATAAATCGACACCTTCCTAATTACAATGTGTTAATAATAAAATAATCAAAAGATAAATATATAGAAATAATTGAGAAGCAAACCTCTTTCTTGAATGAATCAACGATGTGTTTAACTAATTTAATGTCAAAATCTTCACCACCCAAGTGAGTATTTCCATTGGTTGACTTGACTTCGAAAACTCCTTTATGAATTTCCAAAATGCTAATATCAAATGTACCACCACCCAAATCATAAACCGCAATGATTTTATCACCAGCTTTATCAAGCCCGTAAGCAAGTGCTGCGGCTGTCGGTTCATTAATAACTCGGAGCACGTCTAGACCTGCGATTTGACCCGCATCTTTCGTAGCTTGACGTTGAGAGTCGTTAAAATATGCAGGTACGGTAATAACTATTTCATATTATAATAAATTAAATTAGAAATAAAATTTCATCATACTTATTTAATATATGGGACCCCCCATAGCAAAAGGGGGCAGTGGGCCAAAAAATTTTTTTTTATTTTTAATTGATTTCTTGAAAAATTAGATTGATAGAAAACCAATA